ATATAACCAATCCGTAACAACGGCTGATTATAGCCGTTCGGGCGAGGGGGGGGGCAGTCCCGCCCCCCAGTCAAAATAAAGTCATGCAAATTATAAACGTATAAATTCGGGCAAAAATTGGGGGAAATAAATTTAAAAAGAAGACAGTACATGCAATATGGTATTTGAAAATACCAGAAATATGTAAAAGTAACGAGGAATCGACAAATAGGAAAATATTTTTGTCTACTTCCCAACGACAATTTTGAAAATTTTATAATTCAGTGGGTAAAAGTCGGATAAATTTTCTTTCTGGCTCCCGCCCGTACGCCTATGACGGAATGTGTATCGGAACATAAAGCAAACAATATTTGCGAAACATAATTAGTAAGCTCAAATTCTCGAAATTAAAGTAAACAAGAGGCATATACAATCAAAAGAATAATCCAGTATAATATAAAACAAAACTTTTCTCAAAAATTTAGCCACAACATTCAATAATAATAACTATTATCTATAAATAACTAGTTTTATCGCTTCCTTATATATTACTGCCCATCCTTCCCGCTTTTACATGCACCTATTTCCGCGAAAAATTACTCATATGTGAAGCTACATATAAATACTAGGACTTTACAATCACGTGCGAGACATATTACCACCCGATAGAGTCACACATACGACAAAAGAATCCTATTTTTACTGGCTCGTATTTATGAATTCACAATTGTATGAATCGTTAGATTGTGATCAACGTGGATTTCTTAATTCGCTCTCGTTTGATATAAGCGTACGTTAATGAATAAGTGACATTTTAGTTACAAGCCTGGAGATGGCTGTCAAAATTCAGCCGAGTTTATGTGTCAGTTAGAATGAAATGACATGTGAAAACATTTAGCAAGATTGAGGCATCAAATGCGATATTATTTTCTTATCCAATCTTTTTTGTTTTTGTTATCACGTTATTATTATTGACTGTTGTAGCAATATTTATTGGAAAGTTTGTATTTCAGCCGTTGGTACTTGTTACGGAATGGCTATGTAAACGTGGTTAAAAATATTCTGACTTTGTTGTTTCTGATGGCATTTGCCGACTCTCGACTTTTTACTAGTCTCGATCGACTCTCGACTTTTTACTCTCGACTCTCGACTTTTTACTCTCGACTCTCGACTTTTTACTCTCGACTCTCGACTTTTACTCTCGACTCTCGACTTTCACTCTCGACCCTCGACTTTTACTCTCGACTCGCGACCTATACTCTCGACCCTCGACTTTTAGATACACTCAGAAATTTATCAATCATCAAATCAAGAAATGTTTGCTATTTCGCTGTCGTCATGCAGTCGCTATAATGCAAACTTTAAATTGGACCAATCAGTGTCCGCTATTCGTGATAGTCCAGCATATTTTTGAGATCAGTGAGGATGACCACCCACCCAACACCGTTGGTGACCCACGCCCGCGATAATTGATGAACTTTAGACTCCGGTAATGCTTTCGTTTCCCCGGGTGTAAATAGCCGGGGGGAATTAGTACCCTTGCACGGCGCTTCGCGCCGTCGGCTCGGGGACTACATTGGCGACAAGGAAAATATGGCGACGTACGGCAGCCGATGAAACCGAAGAGTGGCCACAATACATTGAACGAATAGACCATTACTTCGAAGCAAACGAAATAGACGACGATGACAAGAAACGCTCGATTTTTCTAAGCGTGATAGGAGCTAAGACCTATAAGCTCTTGCGAAGTTTAATTCAACCCGAAACACCAAAGTCGAAGTCCTATGAAGAGCTGGCCGAAATTGCGAAAAACCATTACATGTCGAAGCCATCGGAGATCGTTCAGCGATACAAATTCAATACTCGGGTTAGACGAGAAGGCGAGTCAATATCGACTTTTGTGGCCGTGCTTCGAACACTTTCTGAACACTGCAAATTCGGAAGTTCTCTAGATGAAATGTTAAGAGACCGGTTAGTATGTGGAGTTAACAAAGACCATATACAGAGACCTTTGTTTGCGGAATCGACACTCGATTTAAAACGGGGGCTGGATATTGCTATTGGGATGGAAACGGCTGCGAAAGACGTGCGTGACTTGAAGGGTGATGCAATCGACAGTCAAAATATGATACATAGAATGAACAAGGACAACAATGTTAATGACTCGATGAATAATTGGCAGAATAATAGTGAATATTCCTGTTTTCGTTGTGGAGGTAAACATAATCCAGAGGACTGCCGTTTTAAAAACAAAACATGTCACAAATGCGGAAAATTGGTCACATCTCGAGGGTTTGCAGAAGTACGAAGAAAGATGAAAGTGGTGGTTGACAAACGAGAGGATACCGATCGAAATTTCAAAACTTTCAAGCGAACAAGGGGGAGCAAGTTGAGAGCGAACCAGAGGAGACTTATAATTTATTCAACGTATCGAATCCATCGACAAAAATACCGCCGTATCAAGAGAAATTTAACGTGAATGGTCAAAATGTTGACATCGAAATCGATACGGGGGCATCTTTGTCGGTGATCAATCGCGACACGTACGAGTCTCTACGCCAAGGAAATGAGAACTTGGTGTTGAAAGAGAGTAAAGTGGCCCTAATACCTACACGGGCGAACGTGTTAGTCCATTGGGAATTCTAGAAGTAACCGTAAAATATGGCAACCAAACCCATCCATTACCACTGTTGGTGTTAGCCGGTACCGGGCCTAATCTGTGTGGTCGCAATTGGCTTGATTGGTCAAGCATTCGATGCCTGGGGAAGGTGAATTTGGAAGATGTGTTGAAAAGGTATGATCATTTGTTTAATGAAGAATTGGGTATGTTGCATGGTATCAAAGCAAAGATACATCTCAAACCAATGACAAAACCTACCTTCTACCGAGCTCGTATGTGCCGTATTCAATGCGGAGTAAAATTGATCATGAAAAGGAACTAGAGAGGTTAGAAAGGGAAGGGACAATCGAAGCGTTGCAGTATTCAGAGTGGGCAACCCCGGTAGTACCCATTATCAAGCCAGATGGGAGTGTGAGGTTATGCGGGGATTACAAACTGACCGTAAATCAAGCTTCTCGCCTAGATGCATATCCGATACCCAAGATAGAGGAACTACATAATAAATTAGCAGGTGGGAAAACATTCACCGAACTTGATCTGAGCCACGCATATGAGCAAATGGTACTCGACGATGACTCGAAAGAATGTGGTTACGATTAATACTCATCATGGTTTGTACAGATATAACCGTCTACCTTATGGAGTTTCTTCTGCACCAGATATTTTCCAGAGAACTATCGAAGGCTTACTGAATGGCATTCCCTTTACAGGAGCTCTCCTCGACAACATTCTGATCTCTGGTGCAACAGATGACGAGCACTTACGGAACCTCGAGGAAGTTATGAAACGGCTATCCGAAGCCGGCTTACGTTTAAAAAGATCCAAGTGTCGTTTCATGTAACCAGTCCTTGATTGTCTTGGCTTTCGAATTAGCGCCCAAGGCATTTATCCTGTCGAAGCCAAAGTGCAAGCTGTGAAGGGAGCACCAGTACCCACCAACATCAGCGAGTTAAAATCCTATCTTGATTTAATCAATTTCTATGGCAAGTTCCTTCCTCATTTGTCAAGTATTCTAGAACCACTCTACCGGTTACTACGCAAGAATCAAACATGGAAATGGGGGACAGAACAGACAAAAGTTTGAACGTTCGAAGAACCTCCTTCAATCATCAACCGTACTGGTCCATTATGATCCGAAGAAGAAACTATTGGTCGCTTGTGACGCCTTGCCTTATGGAGTTGGTGCTGTACTATCCCACGAGATGGAAGATGGAACCGAGAAACCAATTGCCTTTGCTTCGCGAACGCTGACAGAGGCAGAGAAGAAATATTCACAGCTAGATAAAGAGGGCTTGGCTATGGTTTTCGCAGTTAAGAAATTCCATCAATTCCTATATGGTCGGCATTTTACAATTTACACCGATCATAAGCCACTCCTGGGAATATTTAGTTCCGAACGTGCAATTCCACAGATGGCATCGAGTAGAATTCAAAGATGGGCCTTGACGATGTCAACATACGAGTACGACGTGATTTTTAGGCCAGGAAAAGAGAACAGCAACGCGGATGCCCTCAGCAGACTGCCATTGAAAATCGAGCCGAGTACGACGCCGATACCCAGTGAAGTGGTGAATTTGATGGATCAGTTGTCCCGAAGTCCGGTTGATGCAGGATATCAGGCAATAGACAATGAGAGATCCGGTGTTAGCGCAAGTATACCAATTTGCAATGCAAGGATGGCCTACCGTCGTTCAAGATGATAGCATTAAACCGTATTTTACTCGAAGAAACGAACTGAGTGTCCAAGAAGGCTGTCTGTTATGGGGATCGAGAGCCGTAATACCCCCTCAGGGAAGAAGTCAAGTCATGGACATCCTGCATCAAACTCATCCTGGTATGTCACAGATGAAAGGTTTGGCTCGTGGTTATGTTTGGTGGCCGGGTATGGATAAAGCGATCGAAGAACGGGCTAGAAGTTGTTCTACTTGTCAAATCCATCAGAAAGTACCACCGAAAGCACCTATGCATCCGTAGGAATGGCCGCATCAACCATGGTCTAGGATCCTCGTGGACTATGCTGGGCCATTTATGGGAAAGATGTTCCTATTGATTATTGATGCACATTCGAAATGGTTAGATATCCACATGACCAATTCGTCTAATGCCGAGACGACAGTCGTAGCTTCTCAGCTACGAATGACCTTTGCTAGTCAGGGGTTACCTGAAATGGTGGTATCAGATAAAGGGCCAGCTTTTGTGAGTAAAGAATTTGAAGAATTCCTAAGAAAGAATGAAGTGCGACACGTTACATCAGCTCCATATCATCCATGTTCCAATGGCCTTGTGGAACGAACCGTGCAAACCTTCAAGCAAGCGATGAAGAAACAAAAGGATTTCTTGCAAACACGACTGTCGCGATTCCTGTTCAAGTATCGGATTACACCACACACCACTACTGGCCAAGCACCAGTGCAATTACGTTGGGGAACACAGTTACGATCACATCTTTCCTTGATCCAGCCCGACCCTGGAAAACCGTGCGATATGCTCAGAATAGACAGAAAGTTAAATATGATCAACATTCGAAGCCTAACAATTTTTCGATAGGAGATGAAGTGTGGGTACGAAGTTATACAGCTCCTGGGAAGTGGTCAACTGGTAAGGCGATAGAGGAAACTGGGCCAGTTTCTGCAAAGATTGCGATGGAAGACTCCTGAGTGGTACGGCGACATCATGATCAAATCCGACGGCAGACACCAATCAGATCTGAGACCACAGAGGAATCAAGTGAATCTACTGTTGAAGAATCAGGTGAAACTGCTGTTGAAGAATCAGGTGACTCTAAGAGACGTTATCCGACAAGACAGCGTAGGATACTTCAAAAACTGAACGATTATATAATGTAAATCTAACATAGTTATTATTTGTTAATAGGTTAAGATGTTTGTTTGAAAACCAAGAAAGAACAAAAAAAAAGAACTTAGGGCGGAGGAATGTAGTAACCGGACATGACGTTTCAGTCCCGTAACATTGGGTTTATAAACACAGTTAGCTAGAGCATATTGTACTAATCAATTTGGTATTTTCGATGTCAACTATGTAATAAATACTTAATATACTGTACCCAATTTTTAATTAGAAGTGAAATCGCCCCCTCCCCGGTCACCGACGACATTCCGAATGGATAGGTCACGGGGCGCCATTGTCAGTTGAAGATAGGACCTTTATGCATGTAGCCTGCGTGTCAAGCATGTGGCCTACGTGTTATGAGGCTGTATGCTTGAAATAGAGTCTGCTACTGAAGTCAATGAAAAGTGGAAAGTCATTTGGATGGACGAAAATAACAACCAATCAAAATGGCGATTGTTAATTAGATTATCAAAGCAGTCTCGTACCCAGGCGCAAATAACGTACTAAAAATAGCAACACTACAGAGTTTTTATATAGATCAGTGGCTAAGATGAGCGACCTGCGTCCTCCCCAAGCACCCCCGCGGGCTCTCTCATCTTAGCCACTGATCTATATAAAAACACTGTAGTGTTGCTATTTTTAGTACGTTATTTGCGCCTGGGTACGAGGCTGTTATCAAAGCTAATTTAAAATATGACAATAACGGCCAATTTTTCCACCAATATCTCAAAAATAAATATTCCAATTCTCATTAAACGGCCAGGAATTACATACTAAATAATAATAACGGTTATTGACCGTGTTTATAGACAGCAAAGGCAATAATTAATGCGGCCAAAAGTACAAGTACGGAATATCGTATTTTACTTGAGTATTTTTGCACAAGTGAACATAACAAATCCTACACGTTGATTGGTCAAATTTGAGGTAATAAGCTGTTATATTCACCTACAGGTGAATATAACAAAACAGAAATTTTCAAAATGGCGGCTACCCATTTTGTGGAAGTTTACTGACAAAGAAACAAGCGAAATTAAAATAGATTCTGTCTCAAAAAACACAAAAGCTTGTGTAAAAATACTAAAACAATTATTCGCCTCAGGCTTGGTGATTATCGGGGAATATTCACCTCGACTTCGTCTCGGCGAATATTCCCTGATAATCACCTCGCCTTCGGCGAATAATTGTTAAATGTATACAACTAGAAAATACATGCATGCAGAGATCCCTCGCCTTGCTGACAAAACCATTGTATTTTTCGAACCTGAAGTTTTCAAAGTAGTTGTCATGGTAACACGATCATTTTGTTAAGAATATTTTTACAAATGAAAAATCCCCTAAAAATAATAAAATATCACTTTTAATTATAAAATTATCAATTCCCCAAATATATATATATATATATATATATGTTAGACATGTTATTATACGCAACATAAGCTTCAATTTAAGGTAACTTTTCAACCTCAAACGCTTGGCAAGATGTTTTAAAATGTTCTTTATAAACTGAACTATTACTGCCTTTAAAGGCTTTAACTTTGAGTTTGAAATAAAACGATTTCAAATTCTCGCATTCAAACAACTTTTTTATTTAAAAATTTTAATATAATAAAAAAGGGTAATCAATAAAGAAACACTGAAATTATATGCTGTCCTTTTCATCTAAAATATACGCAACGATGAACGATCAGCTTTTAAAGCAATTATAAAGCGAAAAATACATAAAAGAAATACCTTCTTTTAGCAATTCTTTCGCCTTTATTTTCTTAAAAAGCTTTTGAAATTCACAAAATCTTGCAAAAATTAAATATATTTGCAAGAAATCATCAAATCAAGAAATGTTTGCTATTTTGCTGTCGTAATGCAGTTGTAATGCAAATTTTAATTTTGACCAATCAGTTTTCGCTATTCATGACAGTCCGCCATATTGTTTGAGATCAGTGAGGATGACCACCCATTCAACACCGTTGGTAACCCAAGCCCGCGATCATTGATTAACTTCAGACTTCGCTGATGCTTTCGTTTTCCCGGGTGTAAATAGCCGGGCGGAATTAGTACCCTCGCCCTGGGCTTACGCCCGGAACGGCGCTCCGTGCCGTTGGCTCGGGGACAACTTGATATAACCTTAAAAGGCAAGGCTATTTTTCCAAGGTTTATTTCTGACCAATGAGAATTTTGCGTACGATTCGAGCCTGACACGCAGGCTATTTAGCATGAAGTTACGCCACTGGGTAAATCACGCAACCTCGTGTCCAACCAGAACTTTTATTAAACACGGGGACCCTGGGTACGAGGTTGCAAATCACGTGGTTCTGGACTGGGCTTATTAGAGGGTGGGCGGCTAAATAGAGGCTGGGGGCTAAATAAATATTAAGTTACAGGATCATCGTTATATAGAAACATTTGGAGAAATTTTCATACAATATATTTATCATTTATTTAGCCATATCATGCAGTACTGCACAGCCTTATCACTAAACGTTACTAGAACGTTTGTGTTCATGTTTCGCTATAAGTTACATTGAGAATGATTCCATTATTAGAGGACGGATGCTAAACAGGATGGCCGGCGGCTTATTTTCGTTCAGCTCTTCTCGACTGGGAGCTAATTAGAAGGAGTTGGGGACTAAATAGAGGAAATACGATAAACACAAAGAAGGTAGACCTTTCTTACACTAGGACAATAAGAGTTAAACATCATCATCATCGTCATTTTCAAGGCCGCAGCCAAGGGTGCAACAGTGCGATAGACAGTGCGACTTTATCACATCGATAATTTCACGCAAAATATTTTTTCTTCAAGAGTTAAACTGGGTGATTATTCACATCTCTTATCAAGGCACAGGATATATGATGTGGCCATCTCGCTTTTAACATGATCAAACCGTTTCAGTATTTTTATCGATTGTCCCTCTCATTCGAATCAGGTTGGTCAATTACTCAATATAGGTTACTCCATATGCATCAGTAAATTTTCCATATTGACAGTGGCGTAACCATGCAGGGTCGTAACCATGCAGGGAGGGCAACACTGGTAGATAATGTTAAAAAAAATGTAAACACGATGTTGTTATGAGTCTAAAGTTGGGAAACTGGGAGCCTTATTACAGGTGAAAATGATGTTTCTACTGTACTTTAACCGCAAAAATCCCGACATATATACCCCCGTGCTACTAACAAGTATTTTATTTTTAATGAGATTGGATTTTTGAGGTCATTAATTATATTGGGGGATGGAAAAATGAAAATTGCCTATGTAATTATACAGACATTTAATATCTCAATCGTGTTTACGTAGATAAGCTATACACACAGAAACCTTTGACATGTTTCGATCTCCTCGTCAAAACTACATCTATATGTCTGAGTATGTCGTGTCAACTGATATTATCGCTGCTAAGTGCTGAAATATATGTTTATATCAAGTCATTATACCGACCTCCGTGACTTTTGTACAAAGTTCATTTCCATCTGTTGAAAGAACGATATACTGGAAATGAACCAAGAAGAAGAACTACGTCTGCATGACTCATTATGGTCAGCAGATTGCATGCATGTTCATATCTGATTGCATATTTGAGCAATTAAGCACACAACAACGATATGAAGTATACTATTAGTATTAATGACATTTCCTTTGACAAAGTTATGTCAGATGTGATGTAGTGGCAAGATATAAAGTATTTATAAATAAAATTATTTATCTATTCAAAAGTTATCTCAGATGACATAAAGTACACGACCATGATAAAAATATAATTTGACGCCAGATTGAGAACATAAGATTTAATAGATAAGGCTAAATGAATTCTAATAAATTATCATGGCCATGCATTGACGAGAAAATCGCTATTTAAAATCGTAATAGTTACTCTTCTCCTGTTATCGTATTTTGTCAGGGACTCAAGGGATATAAAATACGGGCTATAGCTTTGTAAATGTGGCCAATAAAGCGTATAGTTTGTTATTCTCCTATATCTGCGTGCATTTTGCAGATTTTTGTAGTTTCGTGGTGCATGAGATAATCAGTTTTCTGATAATTACGCAATCGTGACAAATTTATGCCCACACATTACATAATGAGTTTAGTACGATAGAGTCATTTGAAATGCACATACAGTTTATATGTTATATAGGCGCATGAGTGCATTGCATAAATATAAGTATAGAGATAAGTGTATTTTTTCCCAATTGGATTATGGATTTGTTGGATAAAACGTGGAATGGACGTGAAATTAGTTAAAGTCACTCAAGTTACCTATCAGCTGTGTCAATTTTTTTTCAAATCAGTCAATACCACTCTGGTTAACGTGGGAATAACCCTAATATTCCTAACTTTAAGCAGGGCATCCTGGCTAAATATAACCAGATTCCTGGATACATGCATTGAGCAGACTATGGTAGGAAGTGAGATAAAATATCCAGGAATATTAAGTTAACCAAATAGGGTTATTTCAGTTTATTACAAAATATCGAGGGAGAACTATAGACTAGAACTCGAAAATATCAATAATGCTGACCTGCGTGAGAAAACGAAGACGCTTCTCATTAAGCTATTC